AGATGCCTGGAACAAAAGAGCAGCGTGGCAGTTGTCCAGTTTGTTGGTTTTCTTCATTCCGAGGTAGGGTTCTACTAGTTCATCCTTTTTGGTATGTTGATCTGCCGTTCTCCTCAATATGAGGGATAGTTTCTGTAGGTGCTCTTCTCTTTGGAGATCCGTGTGCTTGAAAATATTTCCTTTTCTTTGAGCTTACACCTTGGAACACCGACGGACTAAATTGGGTTTTCTTTTTCCCGGGTGGGCGTCCCAACCTCTTTTTTATCAAAGCTTTGTTAGTGGTTGTTTTTCTCTCCAGAGATTCTGTATCTGCTGGTCCCAACCTAAGTGTAGCTGGTATTCTTTCAGGTGGCATGCTCATGGGTTCCAGTTCTTCCTCAACAAGGGATTGCCTAGCCAAATCTGATCTTACCATATTTGCAGCAGTTTCATTAAGCTCCCCTGTATCTTCTGCAAACCGTACTCTTTCCTTTCTTGCAGCGCTTTCTGTTGGTTCAGGACAGTTTGAATATTGAATCATAACATCCCGGAGTTCTCCCAAAGCAACCTCCATGGCTTGTTGAGGTAGTTCTGCTATAGGAATGCTCCCAACTTCTGTAAGTTCTCTCGGAGGTCTTTGGGTTCTGGATGAATCAGATAATTCTCTCATTTGTCTTATGGGCGATCTCATGTGGTCACCTTCTCTATTCTTGGCTTTCCAGACTGTTCTTGGTGGTGATCTATGTTGGCTTCTTTCAACATGTCTGGTTTGCTCTCTGTAGTGGCTAGAGGTGTATGAGCATGCTGGTTCTCTTTGATACTCATACCTGTTATTTAGCTCTCTACTAATCACAGTCCCACTTCTTCCATTCCTTTCATCTCTGATCCGGTAATGAGAGGTGCTTGAGGATCGGTGGTTTCGATCATCTCCATTGTAATTTCTCCTTTCATAGTGGGGTTCATATCCTGAAATATGTTCCCGATAGCTACCTCCATTTTTGTGAGTTGCCTCTGGATCTCTTCTATATTCCCTTGTAACTACTTCTCTTGGGTGGCTTAAACTAGCCCTTGTTCTTTGTTCCCCAGATATTTTAAAGAGGGACAATCCTTTTC